GCATCTCTGTCACCCCCGATGGTGACTTTGCCGCTTGGAGTCTGGTGGCCGCAGGCTGCAGGGGAAGGAGAGTTTTACTTATTCCGAACCGGATCCCCTGCTGCCATCAGCATCCATTGGGTCAGCTTCAGCTCCTGGAGTTTCAGGTCTGTGATGTACTCTCGCGCGTGAGTGCACCGAGTTCTATGGCGGATCCTGCAACACCACGGGAGTCTCCATAGATATAGTCTCTTATGATGACCGAGACAATGACTTTTCTCACAGCTATCGCACAACAGCGGTAGCTCCACTTTTTGTCGAGGAAAATTCCTAAAGCAAAGCAGTCTTTAATGTATAGTTCCTACTTTGCCTTATGTACTCCAGGTAACAGATTGAAAAAGAAGAGACGGCTAGGAGTAAGGAAGAGAAGAGAAGAGGAAGAGGAAGAATACGCATTACAGATATACCTAAAAAAAGGCCAAAAATAAGCGTCAAGCGAAAAATATTAATATTCAGTGATAAAGGTCACTGTATTGAAATGAAATCTATGCAGAGTGAGATAAACGCTGATATTTTATTATAACATTCCACCCACCTACCAGCGTCATCCAGCACATGAGAAGAGCAGGCCACGTCTCTCCAAAAGGATTTAATGTTCACGTTTTATTTAACGTATGCTAGTTCTATAATGGGAATTACAGGAGCTCTACTGTACGTTAACTGTCTCACTTCTAGACAGCAGTACCTAAGAAGGAGTTTCTTTACAGCCGTGAATAGGTTAAATATTTGTAGCCCTACAGATTCTGTTACTGTTACTGTGTGCCTTTAGACATTGTTTGTATATTAAATATCGAGAAGTGGGAATTTGGGAACATTGTTATTGGCTACTAAGAGTTTTTAGCCAATCAGAATTCAGCGAGCTTTAAACTCATCGTCAGTGACCAGAAAATGGCCAATCATGTATCTACTAACTATACAATTTATACTTAATGCAGCAATGAATTAAAGTTCACTACGGGTGTTTTATATAAAAGGAATTTAATTTGAAGCCATACTGTCTGTTAAGAGGGGAAGTGTAATGGCTCCAGGTGGGCCAAAATCATACATTTATTAAAAAAGGTTAATTATAGACTATAAAAACTTATATTATCGATCTATATATTTTTTACATTTATACAGTAGATTTTACCGTCTTGCTGCCACAATAATTACTATTACTGTTTTTTATAAAGCGCTGATATATTTCACGTCGCTGGATGTAATGCAATGGGCATATGTCAATGTAAGGGTTCAAATCCACAGAATTAAAAGGATGCCCTACACTGGCAGGAGAGACAGCTGTATGCCCCCCTCCTTTTGGCAGTGAGAAGGTTAACCTCCATGGCATCCATTTATGCCTGATGACATTGGCCTACTCTGTGTTTTACCCCAGTTTGGCACTGAGAGGGTTAATCTGTTGTCCTCCATTGTTAGTGCCTGATTAAACTGCTCTGTGGTTTACCCCAGTTTGGCAGTGAGAGGGTTAATCTGTTGTCCTCCATTGTTAGTGCCTGATTAAACTGCTCTGTGTTTTACCCCAGTTGGGCAGTGAGAGGGTTAATCTGTTGTCCTCCATTGTTAGTGCCTGATTAAACTGCTCTGTGTTTTACCCCATTTGGCAGTGGAGGTTAATCTTTGTCCTCCATTGTGGTGCCTGACAAACTGCTCTGTGTTTTACCCAGTTTGGTAGTGATAGGGTTAATCTGTTGTCCTCCATTGTAGTCTGATTAAACTTTCTAGGTTTTACCCAGTTTGGCAGTGAGAGGGTTAATCTGTTGTCCTCCATTGTTAGTGCCTGATTAAACTGCTCTGTGTTTTACCCCAGTTTGGCAGTGAGAGGGTTAATCTGTTGTCCTCCATTGTTAGTGCCTGATTAAACTGCTCTGTGTTTTACCCCAGTTTGGCAGTGAGAAGGTTAATCTGTTGTCCTCCATTGTTAGTGCCTGATTAAACTGCTCTGTGTTTTACCCCAGTTGGGCACTGAGAGGGTTAATCTGTTGTCCTCCATTGTTAGTGCCTGATTAAACCGCTCTGTGTTTTACCCCAGTTTGGCAGTGAGAGGGTTAATCTGTTGTCCTCCATTGTTAGTGCCTGATTAAACTGCTCTGTGTTTTACCCCAGTTGGGCAGTGAGAGGGTTAATCTGTTGTCCTCCATTGTTAGTGCCTGATTAAACCGCTCTGTGGTTTACCCCAGTTTGGCAGTGAGAGGGTTAATCTGTTGTCCTCCATTGTTAGTGCCTGATTAAACTGCTCTGTGTTTTACCCCAGTTTGGCACTGAGAGGGTTAATCTGTTGTCCTCCATTGTTAGTGCCTGATTAAACTGCTCTGTGTTTTACCCCAGTTTGGCACTGAGAGGGTTAATCTGTTGTCCTCCATTGTTAGTGCCTGATTAAACTGCTCTGTGGTTTACCCCAGTTTGGCACTGAGAGGGTTAATCTGTTGTCCTCCATTGTTAGTGCCTGATTAAACTGCTCTGTGGTTTACCCCAGTTTGGCAGTGAGAGGGTTAATCTGTTGTCCTCCATTGTTAGTGCCTGATTAAACCGCTCTGTGTTTTACCCCAGTTTGGCAGTGAGAGGGTTAATCTGTTGTCCTCCATTGTTAGTGCCTGATTAAACCGCTCTGTGTTTTACCCCAGTTGGGCAGTGAGAGGGTTAATCTGTTGTCCTCCATTGTTAGTGCCTGATTAAACTGCTCTGTGGTTTACCCCAGTTTGGCAGTGAGAGGGTTAATCTGTTGTCCTCCATTGTTAGTGCCTGATTAAACTGCTCTGTGTTTTACCCCAGTTTGGCAGTGAGAGGGTTATAGCCAGTGTATAGCCTATCTGAGTGACGGGACCTTGGGTGCAGCTGCCAGCGCAGTCTGTGGTTCTGTGGCAAGATCGCAGCCTCCGCAGAGCGCAGACAGTCCTTAGGGTGTAGCACTGCATGGGAACATTACCCCAGGCCTGCTAAAATATTTAAGCCCTGCCTGTCACGTTTAACAGGGCCGTGGTGTTTTCAATAGCTGCAGATAAGGATTGATTCATTTTTCATGCTTGTTTTTCTGTCTATGTCTGTATGAGTGTGTATCTGTATGTCTGTGTGTGTTTGTGTAAGGACATGTATATGTATTTGTGCCTCTGTATATAGGCATTTATGTGTTTGTGTATAAATGATTTTGTACATGCGCACACAGCTAGTTTGACTATGAATGTACCTGTCCAGGTGTCATAGTTGCCAAGTGTCCTGAGTTTTTTGGGATAGTCCCATGTTTAGAGCTCCTCCTATGCATTTATCATAAATGTGAGTGTCTATTGAAGTGAGTGCGTCTATGTTTATAACGTTAAGCATGTGTGTTTGTGTGGGTATTTATGTGTGTGCGTTTGTATTTGTGTATTACGTGCATGTATATGTGTGAGTGTGTATCTATATATCTGTGTGTGTGTTTATACTCTATATCTATTTGTGTGTGTTCTTTCGTTCTAGGCCGCTGTGTCCTGCTGCAGTTGTCCCTCCGTTTTCCCCTGGACTCCCCCCCTCCTCTCTGGTCTATAAGTGGCATTTAAATGCTCCGAGAATCAGCTGGAATGCTTTCCGTATTAGTTCAGCGTTGTGTTCCCAGCCAGCTTGCAGACATTCGGGAAACTGTTCCTATCCAGCGTACAGAGCGCCGGGAGATCAGTCCCATCCAGCGTACAGACAGCCGGGAAATAAGTCCTAGCACACGTACAGACAGCCGGGAGATCAGTCCCAGCCAGCGTACAGATAGCCGGGCAGTCGGTCCAAGCCAGCGTGCAGAAAGCAGGGGCAGCTGATCCCAGCCAGTGAGCATACAGCCTGGAAACCAGTCCCAGACCCTCAGAAGCTCAGGATGGGAACAGAGGAAAAGCCCTGGGCCGTCAGCACAGCCCCTAATCCCCCGGCTCCCGCAGCGCAGCCAGACAAGCCTAAGATGAAGAACAAGTCGGACAAGGAAGCCAAAACGGCCCAGCAGGAAGAGGCCCACAAGTGCTGTGGTTGCCGTTTCCCTCTCCTGGTAGCTGTTCTCCAGCTGGCCCTTGGAGTGTCTATCACAGTGGTAGCCTTCCTAATGGCCGGGACCTGCTCCTCACTGCTAGTCAGAGACACCCCTCACTGGGCTGGGATCATTGTAAGCATCGAGTCTCCTGCATGACCCTTTTCACTAACCTCCTGCATGATAACAGCATGGACTGGGGAGTGCCCGGCTCCTGTGGGCCATGTCAAGACAGGGTAGCTAACACTAAGCAAAGGGCTGCATCTTAAACAGGGTCTACGCTTCCCAGCCCCGCTATTCTGCCACTCGTGACACTCATTGATGGGGCTTTAAAAAAAAGTACCTGCCACCTTGTTCCCCCTGTGGGATGGAGAATGGGAGAACGTGGAATACTCTGCAGTAATTGCAAGCTCTGTAGTCAAAAATTCAGAACTAAAGCAAAGTTTGTAACTTATTTACATCTTGCCATCTGCTCTAGACAGCTGCACCTTTATATACAGTGTGCGGCTTTATATAGAGAGGCAGAGGAGGGAAATAAATCATCACTGGGAGGGAGTAGGGTCCTTAAATATATCTTACAAATTACAGGGCAGAAGAGAGATCTCTGGCTGGGAACGTGTCCCTTGGCTAACATCACAGTTTGGGGTTTGTACCAATTATTACAAGTTAGCATTAGATAATTTTCTACGTCTTAATATTGAAAACCCAAACTACCTCTCCTCTCAATAATTATCTGTCCCTGTGATTAATAGGTCCTTCACTGACAGAGAACCCCAGCTAGTATTAAATGTTACATGGATGTATGTAGTGGGCATTGGATGGTATCTTCCCCTCAAACCAACCATGAATTTCCCAAATAACGACAGACACTAAAACTTGGATATAACAGGCCACAGCATTTATTAAAACATCCAAATAATGTATAACGCATCCAAACGTATAAAACTGTACAGAATAAAACGATCATAAATTAACATATCGATAACGTTGCCTAATGTCATACAGTATGCCTTTAATGTAGTCAAAACGTCCTAGCCAATCTAACTCACCCCTTCCCAAAGGCTTTTACCTCTCCCCTTGGCATAATAAATTCCTCTTCCCTTTTGGGATCCCCACAAGCCGCTTTTAGCTCGGTGGGGACCCAACCATAATGCTATCCACCAGCCGGCTTTTAGCTCAGAGGGGACACGTCCAACCTGGTACCCCTTAAGGTTCACCATAAGAGACTGGAGGATGAGACCCGGCCATTATCCCCTTACTCATCTACATGCAAATCATCTCCCACCCTATTTGGCAAGGACATGTCCCCCACCTTGCTGTGACAACACCCCAGGCCTAAAGCACAAAGGGAGGGTGGAGAACAATAGGACAGGAAAAAGGGGGCAGGGAAGAGGCACATTTTCCCATGAAAGTCACTTTTTAGCCTGTCTTTTTGCAGGGCCCATAGTCTTGGGGCAAGAGGCTGGCAAGCAGGCCTCTCGCACCTTCGTCACTGAGATTTGCTGGCCGGGCCTCTAAGTGGCACTGAGGTCAGCTTAATTCGTCACCAACCCCTTCCTCACATCCAACACTCCCACACATAACAAACAGCCAATCATGTTTCATCCATTTCCCATACTCATACATATGCCCTTGTCCACTAAACTGCGCACTCTCCCTTGGGCCTTGTCGCCATTTATTTTCAAAATGTATAATTTACCAACAGAGAGATACACGAAAGGTGGACATATACCCAGAATCATTCGCTAAACTGCGAATTGGCAGAAAACCTAAAACATGAAATTCGCCCCTAATTGTAGACTATTCATGGCTTAACTGTTGACTAACAATAAGTCACAAAGGGGTTTATCCTGTAAACTGAGACTTGTAAAGAATTGACAAAGTGAACAGCAAATATTTGGCCAGATTAGCAGACCTGGAAAAAGCAGAATTTGAGACATTTTGCAATTCACTAATCTCCAGATTATAAAGAGATCTCTATAGAAATGTTGCATTATTATTATTTAATTATTGCAAAGCACGCTATATACCAGCAAAGTAAATGATGAACATAGTAATGGAAACAGAAAGGCAAGTTATGAATGGGCTACTGAAACGTACATTCTGTCCTTCTCCATACTGTCAGCACCGCCAGTAATTCATTATATTATAAACACACCGCCCTGTCTGACAATGTGTGATCCCGCAAACTTTCCTACAATATTGCAGGACATGCCGTTATCCTAAAATAACACCCGCTGAAAATGGACCCATTAACAAAGAAACCACATCACACTATCTGTCTGAGAACTATGGGTAATGTAGTCCAACGAGAAGGCCAAGTCGTGACATTCTAAGACTATCTATATTAATCTATCCGGTGACCAATTCAATGCTTTTCTGATACATTAAAAAAGAAAAATCTTTCTTCCACTTACTTTCAGCCTGATTTCGAACAGATCCCTGCGTTTCGCATGTTTTTTTAATGCCATGTAGAAGTAGCACATATTTTACGTGCTATTAAGGCTGGATAATGATTTACTCACATTAAGTACTTGTGGTTTAGGTTGATTTTTTGAGCAGTGCATTTTGTGCGCGTTATGCAATGCTTTTACCATGAGAAATTTGTCCTTAACTTTGGTTTAAACAATGCATGGACTTTGCTCACAGCAACAATTTAACGCCCACACACCTGAAACAGCCAATGCTGGCATACTGGGCACGTTGGTAAATGAATTTGGTTCTTTGACAAGTGACCCTTGGCTTTTCCTAGAGGAGATTGTGCTGAGTTTCCACTACTTGTGTGCTTTTTTGGTACCCAGAAAGGTTCATGCAGGGTCTCTGTTCTTTTGTTAATTAATTTGTATATTTAACACAAGAAATACAAGGAAGAAATCGGTCACATATTTTACAGATTTACAACGAAATCTGCGTGCCATTATATAAAGAAAAGCACGCACTCAACTTTTGCACAATCGATGCTGTTTGCGTTCAGTTTTAAATTGGATTGCTTGACTGCTTAATTTGTAGGACAATAGCTAACAGCCTTTGACCTCTAATTCCTGGCTGGTGGCTTATTCAGTATACCTTTAAAGCATTCAAACTTGTCTGTGGACTGGTGCAGGACTCATGGGAAGTCTTTCCAGAGAGAAAACACATTAAATAGTTGGGTTTCACAAGGACAAGAAAATATTATCTTGTGAGGTTTCGTTTTTGTCAAAGATAAATTATAAAATAAGTCGATTTTTGGGAGCATTTACTAACCAACGCAGTTCAAATAATTAAAAAAATGAATGCTTGAAGAAAATTTGCAATGATGTTCATCACATCTTACTTTTTTACTGCGTTTTAACCGTCCAAAAACAAGAAAGTGAAAATGATTACACCACTGTGATAAATAGTGAACAAAATGCACACAATGACTATCACAAACAGTATCAGTATCCATATATTTAGAACATGTGATCGGGCAATGTCCTGAAATAGTTCTCATTTCTGAGAATATTTGTGTAGTTATGAAATTTGCGGACACATTGATACATTATTTGCAAGTTTCTATTAGTGATAAATGTATAAAACGTAGTAAGGCTTTGTCGATGTCTAGTTTTTAATTAGCATATTTGTCTCTAGGTTTTGCTCTGGCAGACCATCAGAGAAGTGATCATATCAAATGAGCCCATTTACTAAATGGTCAGCCAGAAACAGGTTAATTGCAGTACGACAAACACAATACATCACACATGGCTTCAAAATAGCCTTAAATCCATCCATCCATTTCTACATAACTAAAATAGTCATTTTGACGAAAGCACCTTCGTCACTGAGATTTGGAGAGGCCTGCTTGCCAGCCTCTTGCCCCAAGACTATGGGCCCTGCAAAAAGACAGGCTAAAAAGTGACTTTCATGGGAAAATGTGCCTCTTCCCTGCCCCCTTTTTCCTGTCCTATTGTTCTCCAGCAGGGAACTGTCCCAGGGACACTGCCAGACCATGTGAAACTGGCTGTTTTGTCCCTCCTCAATCTCCCATCAGCCCTTGCTATTGTTTAACCCCACGGCGGTCCAACTGTATTCGTGAGATCTGAGTGCTTTTCGGACATATTGAGCGCTCAGATCCAAGCTATCTGGGGATATGTTGGACATATAGGTTAAACATTGTATTATAAGAGTTATGTATTTTTATGTGGTTTTTGTAACAGTTTTGACTTCGAGATATTTCCTGTACCTGGAGATACGTTACCACAGCCACTTAAGCCAATTATCTCCAGGATAGAGGAGAAGATAGACCGGCTTCACAGCCTAAATCTGTGGAACTGTTTTGGGCATGAAAGCCATGCTTGCGGTTGGTCAAATGTAACTTCCATAAAACATTTGAACCCCTGCTCTGATCTCGGTGATTTTTTGAAATGTTGTTCACCCAGATCAGGACTATCCAGGGATGTAGGGGGTATGTTGTTGTTTTGGGGTGTTTCTGGACTTTCGGTAAAAATTGATATTTTCTGCCTGTGGTAATTGAGTTAGTCCATTGTGTTTGGTAATTGTATCACAGGCAGAGGGGAGGGTTTGTGTACAATAGCTGGGAGTGTCTAACTGTACAATACTGTGTTGATTGGTTTGTGTCCTGTGCTCCACAAGGTCCACGTGGGTGGTAATCTTGTGGGTAAAATGTGCATAAAAGAAATGCCTTTGTGCTCATTAAACATACCTGTTCTACCCTTCATGAAGTCTTGGCTCATGTTTGGGGGATTGGAGAACTACCTACACTCTGGGGATTGCTATAATCACTATACTCCCCAGAGTAAGCTCTTGTAAGAGCTTGTTCCTGTTCCTGCTCTCTGGATTTAAGAGAGGTCTACCTACTGGAAGCTGGACCCTGGTCTTGGGTTCAGAGTGGGTGGAAGACGGCGAGACCCCAACCAAGCTGCGGCGGTTTGTGGGGTCTGCAGTAGTTATGGTTTCTGGTGGAGTGCTTGGAGCCCTCGTAAAACACTAGGAGCATCCATCAACGGAAGGTACCCAGTCGGGGTGCCAGGCGATCCGTTACAGTCATAATATGAGCATATATTAATAAAGGTTATCATGTCTTACAGAGTTACACCATTTACATCTCACCCTCACCTGGTTTAAACCTTCTGTTCCTGTACGTCCAACTTGTCTTGTTTCAAGTACGTGTTTGTTAGTCCAGTTATTGTACAGCGCTTCGGAATATTCTGGCACTTCATAACAAAATAAATAATTATTGATGACAATAATAGCTGTTATTAGAACATTAACTCTGCGTAGGATATTTCTGTGTGTTATATTGTGTCTCAGCATATAATGTAGAATTCATGCATGTTTCGGTGAGTGCCTTTCTGTAATAGTCGTGGGACGGTAACTGGGATTAATGGGCAAGTTGTTTCAGAAATAGTTTTTAGAAAATTTAATATGTTGGAGGAGCGTTATCGTCTGGAATTTCACTGTTAGTCTTCATTGAAACTGGTGTCTTGATTCTCCAGTTCTCACCTCTTTCTAAATCTAGCTCATACAGGTTTACTAACATTCTTGCTGCCTCACCATGTGCCTTTAATTTATGTATGTGCCTCAATGCGTGTAACATTTTGTTGTTTGTTTGTAAACCCATAATGCAGCACCGTGGTATATGTTGTAGCTCTATAAATAATAATAATGATAAAAAATAAAATGTAAAATTGGGTGACCAGTAAGGACAGCTGACAAGGGAGATAAGCAGTGTCTAATTCCAGGACTACCCCAACTAAATAAGGACACTTGTCAATTCAGCAAATAAAATGGTAAAAATTGTGGGCAAACTTTGAAATGTGCCGTAATCACCATAGCAACCGACCGATTGCCACTAGTGAATGCTGCACTGTACGCACTATGTGCCCCCGTTCTAGTCATTACTAGAAAAAGCTCTCCACTTTGCCAGCAACCATGTCACGTCCCCCATCGCATTTCACAATCCATGCGACACATAGGAAGATTATAATATATATATGTGACAAAACCCCTGTTTTGTGAATGCCAGGACCCTCTATTTTGTCTGCTGTTTGTGTAGTTACTCCTATTTCGTGCCTTTATTAAAAACCAAACAAACTACCGAACAGCCAGACCACCCTCAATAGAAGTGTGCAGCTCATTAACTGCCCAGAAGCTGTGGTTAACCACAAGTACTTGACGAATGGCTGGGTAGTCGCCGTTCGTTTGAACGAACACAATTTTACGCGAACACTTCTGGGACTATCCAACTACCACCGCTTTCATCTCTTTTTATACGAACGCCGTGTCGTTCGGTACATTCAATTCAGGAACGAGACCGATCCCAGATAGCTAAATCCATGGAGCCCACTGTGGACATATTTCTAGCGAACAGTCGGTGAACAGACTCTTTTGCTCCATGGCGTTTTGACTGTGTTTGTGGGATCTGAGCACTGTTCGGCTATATTGAGCACTCAGACCCAAGCTATCTGGGGATATGTCGAATGTGGGCGTTCCTGTACATAGCTGATTGTATTGGTCCTGTATATAGCTGTTGAATCCCCCTGTATTTCAAACATCAACAGCTTAATGAATTATATAAGGAAAGTTGGATATTGTTTATTATTATGGAGGCATTTCTTTACTTTGAAAGCCGACAGATTAATCTCTTTTCAAACAAATTCTTATAAACCTACATCTGCTCCACTGTATTAGGACTCGTCTATTCCAAGCTGATATTTCTCTGTGATATTTTTAGAGAAATGATTATTACAAGAAACGCTGGAATTCATCTCATAAAAAGCTTATTTACTGTTTTAGCAGATTCCGCAGAGATTTTTAAAATAAATTGTAAAGATTTTTGTAAAATCTACAAATACACAATATTCAACACATGAATTGTTAATAGGCAAAGTAACAGCCTATTGATCCAAATCGAAATAATTCTTTTTATTTGTGGCAAGTTGGAAATCACTTCAAATGTGGTTCTTAACGTAAAAGGCTGAATTTGATGGACTGGAGATAATGGTTTTACAAATTATATCTCAGTCTTTTTAGTGTACGAAGGGTCCCAACACATAAGGAAATATTCATATAAGACACCAGTATCGATATTAAAAATAAAACAAATAGATTTGCTATTATATTTCTTGTTAAATCTTTAATATCTATATAGCCTTAGTTGGCAGCTGTATCTTTACTTTAAATAAGAGGTCAGTCACTGCACAGTTACAACCGTGGAAATGAAAGTAGTGACCTATAAAAATCCATCATTTATTATGAAATAAAACAATTCTTGAAAGTGAAGAGATCTTCTCCTTAAAATAGTAAACTGCTAACAGGGAACTGTGACTCATAGTTCTTGCAAATTGTTTTTTTTCTGAATATTCAGAGTTCCTGACTAACAGTTAAAAAATAAATCTAAATATTCATAATTAGACATGTTTGGGTCAGCGCTTGAAATATTGAGAACGTGATATCAATTAACTGTAGTAACGCTTGTTTAATTCTAATTTTGTGTAAATACAGGCAGAGCTTTAATATAAACTGAAAACATTTAATAAACGTTTGGGAAACACAAATATTAAACATGATGTCCTTAAACCGAGAGGGTCACTATTTGCACCACAACCACTATGGCTGAGCCAATCCCTATGCTATGGACATAAAAAGCACTGTCTCAATCGCTGCTGAACCATAAAGACTTTGGGTGTGGGGAAAGCCCCCATCTATGGTCACCCCCTAAATGTTATTGGTGATAACCCACAAACACTTTTCAGTTTTAAAACCACTATTTTAGTAAATTGTAAATAACACTGTGACAAACCCCTGTTTTATGGATACTAGTGGCCTTTTCATATTCTGTTCGTGCATTTAGCACTATTTATTCCCTTTTATTTTGTTTACCTAACAGCCAGACTACCCGCAAGTGGAGTGTGCAGCCTATTAACCACCCAGAAGCTGTGGTTAACCGCAGCTTAATTGACGAACGGTTGGGTGGTCGCCACTCGAACACGTGGCGGCAGCCATCTTAAACTGTCGAACGCCCAGCGGTGTTTTGTCGTTGAACACATGGAACTGTTTTTGGACACTGTTTCACACGAACATCGCTGGGACTTCCAACCTTCCAGTCATTCGTTTCTGTTCATACGAACGTAGCGTCGTTCGGTACATTAATAAATCACGAACTAGACCGACCCTGATAGCTAATGGAACTATTTCTGGACAGATTTATGCTGAACGGTCGGTGAAAGCCTACTGGCGATTCGACTGTGTTCATGGGATTTGAGCGCTTTTCGGATATATTGGGCACTCAGATCAAGCTATCTGGGGATATGTTGAATATGGGGGTTCAGCGATGTGAAATATGAATTATGTATTTTAATGTATTTTGTTACCTTTGTAAAATGGAAATATTTTCTGTACCTGGTGATAATTGAGTTTACTACGGTCACTTAATTCAATTATCTCCAGGATAGAGAGGAGGGATTTTACTGTGTATGTGGGAGTGTTTTATATTGTACTGTATGTTCATTGGTTACTGTAACTTGTATTCCAGTCCTCCACAAGGTCCATGTGGGAGTATCCCTTGCTGGAGGACATGCATAAAAGGCCAAGCTGTGGCCACCATTAAACAGATCGTTTTACCCCTTCATGACGTCTTGGCTCATGTTTGGGGGATTGGGAGCTATAATTCACTATACCTTCTGCTACACTTGGATTTTGGGAGATTCTGCACGGATATACTCAGTTAGAGTATAGGGGATCCATTACAAACACAATAACCTATAATAATATGATACGCTGTAATAATACAATAAGCTGTAATTATACAATAAGCTGTAATAACACTAAGCTGTAATAATACAATAAGATATAATAATACAATAAGCTGTAATAACACAGTAACCTATAAGACAATGAGCTGTAATAACACAATAAGCTGTACTAATACACTGAGCTATAATAATACAATAAGCTGTATTGATACAATAAGCTGTAATAATACAATGAGCTGTAATAATACAATGAGCTGTATTGATACAATAAGCTGTAATAATATAATGAGCTGTAACGCGTTGATTGCTGGGAATGCCCCCATTTATGGTCACCCCTTAAAAACATTATTGGGGATAACCCACAATCACTTCTTAGTGTCATAACCACTGCATTAGTAAGTACTAATACAATGAGCTGTAATAATAAACTAAGATGTAGTGATACAATACATTGTAATAATAAAATAAACTGTAATGATATAATAAGCTGTAATAATACACTGAGCTGTAATAATACAGTAATCTATAATGAGCTGTAGTGATACAACAAGCTGCAATAATACAATAAACTGTAACTAGAAAAGCTACAATTTCTGGGGAAATTGTGTGAAGTGTTCTTGCCTCCACCAATAGTCTACAACTGGAGTGGGCGGAGTAACTGTTATTATTTATTTAGCACATTTAATTGCAACGTTGTTGCACAGTTACATTAACCCCTTCAGACCGGAGGGCGTACTATTACGCCCTCTAATAGGCGGCTCTAAACGCCGCCGGGCGTAATAGTACGCCCCCCGGTCTTTTGGTACTTACCCGGTCGCCGGCGGTCCCACGCCGGCGATCGCGGTGGGGGGGACTCCCAGGGAGCCCCCCGCGGCACGTCCGTCCTCCAGGAAGCCCCCTGGCCGTGTGAGAGTGGGGTCCTAGCGAGGACCCCACAATCACATGGCCGGGGATAGCTGGCTTCTGTATTGCCAGCAGGGGGGCTGCCTGTAATGACAGGTGGTCCCCCTGCTGGCTGAAAATAAAATTAAAACAAATAAATGGTGTAAAAAAATAATAATATATACTTATATCATATATATATATTATATATATATGAACTAAGTATATATATACACATATACATACACACATGTACACCGTCTAGGTGTATTTTACTATTAATATATATATAATTATATATATATATTAATATCAAATTACACGTAGACTGATACTGATTAAATATATATATATATAATTATTGTTATATATATATATTTATATATATTATAAAAAAAATTAAAATGTAAATACGTTAAAAAATAGACGAGCACCAGAGCGGACGCAAACCTCTGGAGCTCCGGGACAGAGTGATAAATATAGCCGCACACCCGGAACACAAGAGCCCACAGGCGACAGCCCGACTTACCCTCCAACAGAGACGACCATGGGGCGCAAAAATAGGAAATATCAGCCACCAGCGAACCCGAGAATGCCGGACATAAGGCTCTCCTTTGAGAGGCCCACAGCCGCGACCGCGGCTCCCGCCAAAATGGCGCCCGCGGCCCAGGCTGAAGAGGAGGCCTCAGAAGCATCCCAGGAGGAAGAAGACATTGCCACCTCACCTGAACCGGGAGAAGACTACCCAGAAACGGACTCTGTTGAGGACGCCTCCCCAGTGACGAAAGGTGACATTAAAAACCTCCTGCAAAACATAAGACAAGTCTGGAAATCGGACCTGAAAGAGGCCCAGGCATATATAGGAGACCTCCGCAAGAGGATCTCTGAAATAGAGAGTAAAGAGCAGTCTCGGGAACACCAGAGGCAGGACACCCGCAATCAAGTAGAGGACCTGGCCACAAAAGTGAAGAAACTCACCCGGTCGGTGACCGCTCTGGAATCCCGCCACAGACGCAAGAATGTCCGCATGCGGGGAATACCGGAAACAGTGAGTGAAGAAGCCCTGCTACCCTTCACCCAGAGATTGGTGGCCTCGATGGGGTTAAAGAATAAAGATACCGAGGGGATGGTGGTCTCTGCGTTCAGAGTCCGGAAAGCAGCAGCGGCACCTCAAGAAGCATCGAGAGACACAATAGTCATCACCAGAGACATTGCGGTGAGAACCGCTATCCTCAATAAATCCAGAGAGATCAAGACGTTCCGACTCGAGGGCTGCTGCGTGCCGATCTATGGGGATCTCCCCTTCAAGGCGCTGGTGGCGAGGAGACAACTGGCACCAGTAGCCAAGAAACTGAGAGAGGCGGAGGTCCGGTACCGCTGGGGAGAAGATGGAACGCTGAACATCCAAAGGGGAAACGAGACACTTACCATATCTGCTGGGGAGGACCCCACTGCGCTCTGGAGGACCTTGAACCTGCCAGGCAAAGACCCAAAGAACACTGCACAGCCAGGCTACATACCTCACAGACCACACATGATGCATATAATCAGCGAGAGAGACAGCCCCACACTAAGACGGACTGAAAGGCAATCCATGTCACTCAGTCCCCCAGACAATACCGGACACACTACTAGACGCAGAACCACATAGCCCTGTCGTCCATCACGGACAACACAGATACAATGGCACCCACAGAGAACGAACAACACAAGACCACACAATATAGACACACATGCACACTCACAGGAGACGAGAACACACACCAGACTACCACAAGACCCAATTGAGGGTCATTTGAGTGACGTCTCGGTAAGAGCAACAGAACTCTAAAATGTATGACTTATAAAAGAGGCAAAAGAATAACGCTTACCTCTATGATATACTCTGTATCAGTTGTATCTTTTGATAAAAATACTCAATAAAATACAAATTATAAAAAAAATAAAAATTAAAAAAATTATTAAAAATAAATAATTAAAAAATATATAGATGTGTGTTATTTTGTTCTAACTGTATTGTGAAATTAATATATATATATCAAAATACACGTAGAACAAAATAATATATATATCTATATACATAAATATATACGTATATATCACTATATATATACTATATATAAATAAAAATATATTTTTTAAATTATATAGATATATACATATATTAATTCTACATATATATTTATGTATTATTTTTACATAATTAGGTATCTTAATTAATTACAATTAGCAGGACCTGCCTGACAACCCATGCCGAAAGTAAAGGGAATTTAATTTAGCACTATATTTAACCCTATAACATTCCGAGACACCATAAAACCTGTACATGGGGGGTACTGTTCTACTCGGGAGACTTCGCTGAACACAAATATTAGTGTTTAAAAACAGTAAAATGTATTACAACGATGATATCGCCAGTAAAAGTGAAGTTTTTTGCATTTTTCACGCACAAACAGCATTACACGGACAATATTATTGCTGTGATATTTTTTACTGTTTTGAAACACAAATATTTGTGTTCAGCGAAGTCTCCCGAGTACAACAGTACCCCTCATGTACAGGTTTTATGGTGTTTTCAAAACTTACAGCTTCAAATATAAGGCTTGCGTTTCATTTTTTTCACATTAAAATTCGCCAGATTGGTTACATTGCCTTTGAGACCCTATGGTAGCCCAAGAATGAAAATGACCCCTATGAGGGCATACCATTTGCAATAGTAGACAACCCAAGGTATTGCAAACAGGGTATGTCCAGTCTTTTTTAGTAGCCACTTAGTAGCCACTGCATTTTTCACACACAAACAAATACTAACGCTAACTTTGGCCAGTGTTTGTGATGAAATGGCTACTAAAAAAGACTGGACATACCCCATTTGCAATACCTTGGGTTGTCTACTATTGCAAATGGTATGCCATTATGGGTGTAAATTTCATTCCCGGGCTACTATACAGTCTCAAAGGCAACGTAACCAATCTGGCGAATTTCAATTTCAAATGTAACGTGCTATATTTGACCCTGTAACTTCCCAAAACGCCATAAAACCTGTACATATGGGGTACTGTCTTACACGTGAGACTTTACTGAATACAAATATGTGTATTTTGTTGCAGTTAAAGCAAACAGTATTATGACACTGACCGTTAAAATGTCATGTAGAACTAAAAAAATAAAAAAAATCGTATTTTCTCCCATTTTTTTCATATTAAATTATGTTTCATAGCTAAATATTTGATATTAAATGAAAGCCCTGTTTCCCCTGAATAAAATGATATAGAATAAGGGTGGGTGCATTTACTATGAAAGAGGTGTATTACGGTTGGACAGACATGTAGCGCAAATGCCAGGTTTTGTTTACATTTTGTTTTGTTAACAACGTGTACATTTGGCTCCGTCCTTAAGGGGTTAAACCATACATTTATAAAAACATTAGCAGGTGTTCAAAAGGCCCTGTCTATGACATCACTTGCTGCTGCAGCCTGGCACAGGTCAGAGTATTTTGGCGGTTGCCATCTTCAAACGGTCGTATTTTAAAAACTATAAATCCTACAGCAAAGAGCTTTATATTGTGAGAATCACAAGACCCAGACCTACATTGTGATGCATAGTATGTCTCTGAAGTATTAAGAATGTAGGCACAGTCGCAGTTTGTCTTCTGAATGTCAATGTTAGTTAACTGCACTAGATTGTGAGTTTACATAGGTCTCATCATGGATTTGAGCTTTGTAGAATTGCGCACGAAGTTTCCACTAGCAATTCAATCTGCACTTCACTAGAGCAAACAACTATGAGTTTCTTGTGAAAACGATGGACTATGCGAGCCGTTGTTGACATATAGATTTGCAGGTGTAGCGGGAACGCTGAATATAGACATGTGGTGGCAGAAATCTCCTGAAAATGAGGGAGTGGTGGAGTTTAGAAATCATCTGATTTTTCAGCTTTTGCCAGCTCCCACTCT